GGGCGTTTCCATCACCTTTCAGGCTGGCACTAAGCATGCAGCCCAGTCAGGGGTGCCCAGTCTCCTAAGCCTGTTGTTTGCCTCGTGCACGCCTTGGACAGGAGGGTGAGAAGTATGTGTTACGAATTAAGGGCCTGAATTTCAAGGTCACACTTTTTTCGAAAAACTGTTTTATAAACATTTGTTTCAATAATTCTTTATTTTTATTATCCCAAATGGTATCCTGAGTCTAGGAGTTTATAGTAATTTTGAAGATAGTGATATTTTTAATTGCCACTCTTACATAAAGTGAATTTTAGCAACAGAGTAACTTCCTGATTGCATGCCGCTGTTCTCTCTTTCTATATTTATTACTGTTGTTAGGTGCCATTGAGTCGATTTCTGACTCATAGTGAGCCTCTGTGACAGAGCAGAACTGCCCCATGGGGTTTTCTGGGCTATAATCTTTACCGGAGCAGACAGAACCTAGAATACATATTAATCACTTCATTGTATGCATACGGACCTCTCTGATGGGAAATGAACTTGTTCAATTCTAGTTCAATCTAGGTTCTAAGCTTCCTGTGATGAGTGTGTATCATATATATATAAAATATGTGCATTCTAGAATATATTTTAGGTCATTCTTTTTTAACTGTTGCCAGTTATACAGTGCTGGTAAGGCTAAGAGTCAAATGAGACGGAGGTGCTACAGTGGGGCTTAAGCAGGGCAGACAATGTGAATAAAAATATCCCAAAGATAAACTGTTAAGAGATCCTTCAATGTATTAAAAAACACATAACTTTGAAAAAATCATGATTTTCATTGAAAACAATAATCTGAGGAACTTCTGCTTCTGCTTTACTGAAGGACATTTCGATTTGTGAGGGTTTTCCTTATTTATACAGAACCCTGGGCTTTGGGAACCTCACCCATGGAAGGCTGACAGGACTGAAAAAAAAAAAAAGGCCTTAGGCTGTGGGGAAGCTCCCAGAAGGCCAAGAAGGCTGGCCTTTGCCAGAACCACTGGGACAGCTCTACCTGGGTGGGAAGAGGTGTCTAGGGAACCCCCTGATGTGGGTTTGTCAGAGCAGCTTTAGTAACAGAGAGGAAAGTCTAAGAGAAATGGCAGAAAGGAAGGAGGGGAGGGAGGAGGGACAGGTTAGAAGGCGAGGACGAAGAAGGAATAGGGAAGAAAAGA